TGAATTCAAATAAGACTTACATCATACTCAACGACCCATTGACTATACTTGGAAACCAAGCGTTCGTCAACGACAACTTTTATCACAGTAAAAGTAGAACCCTGATTGTAAGGGTCATCCGGCTTAATGCGAACCTTAAATAGATATGACCTCCCTTGCAAATCTTCAAGTTCGTCGGGGAGTTCAAAGATGGGTTTCATCTGCTATAAAATCAATTTTTATATTCATTTTCATTTTTGTTAACCGTAATAATATAAATATAAATATAAATATAAATACAAATATAAATATAAATATAAATAAATAATGAATAAGATATAACATATACCTTTTGGGATAATTCACGTTTCAAAACATCGCAAGTTTTGCCAATGATATTTTGACAATCCTTATCCCAACAAACGAAGGTTGCACTGGCGGAAGCATCCGAAACACCAAATTGAATTTTGTAGCTACAAATAAAAAAAAATTGTGATTAATGTTGACATTAATAAAGTTCATATACAAATACATATACATAAATAAAATTGAATATATAGAATATTAACTAACCGAAATGTGCCACGATTGTGAGAGCACTTCCGGCACGAATATATCCCGTTGTAATCCTCCATTGAGGAGTTACAACGAAGACATGCAAGGTACCACCATTGGTCGATGATGGAATCAATCCTTGCGCAAACCCAAGTGTCCATGACCTACAAAGAAAAAATGCATACATAACCATTAATAAGTATTCCATTAGAATTTATATAGTATGGCATTGAATTGATCGAAATTGTTATTAATAAATGATAAATAAAATATAAATTATAATAATAATGAATATTATATGTATTAGTTTTACAATTAAAATCCGAAATAATGTCAATTAATTTATATTACCTCAATATACTCGAATAGAGAATCAACAGAACTAACAACAATGTCACCATCATCAAGTCCTTGTAGTTCGGTCTTCACAATGATGGAGCTACTTGACACCAATTTGGTATCCTTAAATTTAGTCAGCGCCAGCCTATGTTGTAGAATAACAGAAACAATGCTAAGATATAATATGATGACACACAGTTACCAATGTAAATGCTTTGGAGCATCAAATAACATGTACCTCCTCCGAAAGTCTTCAATTTCGGGTACGTCCACACCAATGATCAACGTCACGTCCTTCGACGTGCTTATTTGAACATTACCTATTACACAAAATATTATCATAAACAATTAGTATTAATCAAAATTTCATATTATAATCAAAAAATTATCAAATTAACATAATTAATTACCTCTCCACTCTCTTGCGCGGCACATTTGCATTATGATGACAAAAGGTGTTTTTTCGTTTTCATAATGATGCTCCAAAGCAATCAGCTGATCAACATATCGACCCCAGACAGTGCATTCCTTGACATTACCCCTACACAATGTGAATATGTGTTTTTAAATAATTTATTAGAAACCGTTTTGAAAATAATTAAATTACATAAAATATTTATGTAATATAAAAAGTTTTAATATAAAGCTACAAAATATTACTCCAAATCCATAATAGAGAACACAATCATTTGGGTAGGAACTCCCTTCACAATCTTCATTTGAATTGGTTGTATTGAAACAACCAATCCAATGATATCTACAAAAAATAAAAGAATGCATCATATATTACATCATTTAAAAAAAATCGTGAAAATATATACATATGTATCTATATTTAATATATATGCAACGTACCAAACAACATAGCTTCCTCAATGTTACGAACATCCATCAAAGTTAGAAAGTTTCTAAAGTCAAAACGGAAAAATGGAAATTCCTCCTTCCATTTCACAATCTTGGTTTGGCCATGGATGATGATCCTCCATTTTCCTATGGTCGATTTGTAGATGCCGATATTACTTTCAACTTGATAATTTGTCAAAATATAGAAACCACCTTCTTCAATATGGCCTTTGAATTTTTGGATGTTGACAGGTCGAATAATGCCAGTAATTCGTACACCCTAAAACAAATACAAATTGAATAATTAAATACTAAATATAAGAGATATAAAATATAAAATATGTCACGTTGAATGTTGCAATCGAAATTATTTGTGAATTAAAATTTTTTCTTAAAGTTAAAATTATTAGATAAAATATAAATGTGAATAATAACAAAAGAACATATTACCTCAACATCGTGAAAGACAATCTCAAGAACATTTCGATAATTTCGTACATCTTCGACTCGTTGGAACATCCTAATAATGCGTAGCTTCATGGGTGGCTTTTTTGATCTGTCGATATCCTTGATGACTCCAAAATCTATAGGCATTGTGAATGTTGTTGTAAAAGGTTGGCGAAAAAAATGTATTGTGGGATGTGTATGATGTCGAGACTATGTTGCAAAGTTTGTGATCTTTATATAAGCCCATGCGATGAAACTTTGGTGAATTATCCGATAATTGTTTAACGGAATCTGTGTTAATATCCGATATTTTTGACAATGATATTAATAATATCCCATAGGATCCGATCAGATTTAGTTACAAAAATAAATTGATGAGTTGGTTAAAAAATGAGGACTCTAAACACGGCATTTCGGTAAAATTGGTAACTAATTTTATTTGTTTTGGTTAAAAACTCCCAAAATCGTTCTCACATATTCCATTAATTACGCCTAAAATTGAATCCGCTAAAATTTTGAACATATTACGACTACAACTGGAAACAAAATCGCAACAAATTTTGAGATTTATAAATCGGCTGAAATTTTGCACATATTACGCTTATAATTCGATACCCATTCAATTCGCTCGTAATACTGTTTTTTTGGTAAAAAAAATCGCAAAAAAATTGCAAAAATATCGGGACCAAACAATCTCAACATTTCTTTAACAGTATCGATTCCGTCATTTGAAGAGAATCGAAACTAAATTGAAGAAAATCCGTTGTATTTGATGTCAACGCATTATTGATTCCGATTTTATTGGGAAAGAAAATCGAAACAAATTTGAAGAGAATCAGATTTGTAAATCAACTAAAATTTTGGTAAATGAAATCGCATGAATATTGGAACAATATCAACGCAAGACATGGCAACTCTATTTTTCCAAAACGATTTTTGAGGTGATAAAGAATAATAACCTAAATTAGTAAGTCAAAGCATTATTTTTTATAGTCAACCTTACTATTTTTGTATTTTTCCATCAACCTCTTTATATTACTATAGATAGTTTTTTTAGTTTATTACTCATATTTATTTATTTAATTAATATGGATAAATAATTGTTTTATTATAAAAAAGATATTTATTTATTTATTTATTTATGCAATCTATATATCTATATATATATATAATTGCTAGCTAAGCAATAAATTTTACCTAATAAATAAAACCTAATAAATTTTACCTATGTGGCAAATCATTAATAAAACCCAATAAATAGAACCTAATAAATTTTATTTATGTGGCATTAATACACCCAATCTCATTAATAAGAAAATATTTTATTACATTTTTTGGGTTAATTAAGACAAAAACCATTATATTTTATGTTAATTGATTAATAATTATATTTTTTATTGAATAATATAATAGTTAATATTAAAATTAGTAATTATATTTTATACTAAATAATATATGAAAGTTACATAAAATTATATTTTACACTAAAATCAATATTTTTTTATATGATGAAG